TGCTTCCTGGCAACAGGTCTCCTCGCTTGGGAGGAGAGAGCTTCAGAAGGGGCGCATTCCAGAAGTCTGCTCGGTCGGGAAGAAGAAAAACAATACAAAAAGGAGTTGGTAGATCCATTGATGGGTTGGTGGGTACATCTATACTGTAGAAACAAAGCAGTTTGACACCCCTTTGAATACCATTCCTCAGTGCTATGAGACCCCAAGAGTTGCAGTTTGGTGAGGCCCATGCACTCTTGGGCAGACCTTGCTAAACTACAAACCCTAGGATGCCATAGCACTGAGTCATGGCAGTTGTTGTTGTTATGTTTATTTATACCCCACTTGTTCTCTTCACAACAAGACTCACTTCAAGTTGCATCAAACCATATTAATTCCACAGTGTAAATCCACTCCTTGACTTCAGCTCAGCCAACACTGCACTCTTCCAAACCAAAAGCTAAATGGATCACACAGTCGATCAGAACTACACAATTGTAGCACATTGATACCACTTTAGCTGCTATGACTGCATGATACAGCATCCTGGGATTTGTAGTTTGCAAGACTGTTTTGTTGGGGAGCACAGTGGATCAGAACCACACAGTTGTAGCACATTGATACCACTTTAGCTTCCATGACTGCATGCTACGGCATCCTGGGATGTGTAGTTTGTTAGGGAGCACAGTGGGCCAGAACCACACAATGATAGCACATTGATACCACTTTAGCTGCCATGACTACATTCTACGGCATCCTGGGATTTGTAGTTTGCAAGACTGTTTTGTTGTGGAGCACAGAGGGCCAGAACCACACAATGATAGCACATCGATACCACTTTAGCTGCCATGACTGCATGCTATGGCATCCTGGGATGTGTAGTTTGCAAGACTGCTTTGTTGGGGAGCACAGTGTGTCAGAACCACACAATTTTAGCACATTTATACCACTTTAGCTGCCATGACTGCATGCTATGGCATCCTGGGATTTGAAGTTTGCAAGACTGCTTTGTTAGGGAGCACAGTGGGCCAGAACCACACAATTTTAGCACATTGATACCACTTCAGCTGCCATGACTGCATGCTACGGCATCCTGGGATTTGTAGTTTGCAAGAATGTTTGTTGGAGAGTACAGTGGGCCAGAACCACACAATAATAGCACATTGATAGCACTTTAGCTGCCATGACTGCATGCTATGGCATCCTGGGATGTGTAGTTTGCAAGACTGAGCTCTAGACTGATCCCCCTGAATTGCAGCTCAAGGTGATCCTGAGCATAGATGTCTCAGTATCTCCTCAAGCTATAAATCCCCCAATTCCAAAGTATGGGGGAGTTATAATGGTACTTAAGTACTATAGATACATGGAGTGAACTCTGCACAGAAGCAGCAATTTTAAATAGCTTGTGGCCTCTCTGCATTGTTGTTGTTGTTGCTGTTGTTGTTTGCATCCCACCTTTTCTCTCTAGAGCAGAGACTCGGGGCCCATCCAGACAGTAAAGGAGGGGCTGTCCAGACAATGTTCTGGACAGTCCCGAATTAATTTGCTACGAACCAGGAAAAGCCTGGTTTGTAATGAATTAATTAGATAGTGGGTTTATTCCTCACCTTCTTGGAAGGTGAGGGATAAACCCACTACTTCCGGTTTCTAGACTACAGTCCAGACACCATTCCCACAGTTTATCAGGCTAAATAAGCACGGTAAACTGTGGGAATGCCCACTGCCTCCCCCTAAGCCTCCAGACCCTTTAGAAAAGTAAAAAAAACTTACCCGGTCTGCAGCCTCCAGACCCTTTAGAAAAGTAAAAAAACTTACCCGGCCTGAGCTCGCTGCTCAGAGAGTATACTGGAAGCCGGGTAAGTTTTTTTTTACTTTTCTAAAGGGTCTGGGAGCTTAGGGGGAGGTGGGTAGGGCCTCCAGATGATCTCCTGGGCTAGTCCTAGGGTGTTTTCTGGGGTGTGTGTGAACAGGCTCCCAGGAAAATCTGCATTTTTAAAACAAGGATTCTCCTGGGATAATGGCCTGTCTGGATCCACCCTCAGAGCGGCTCACAATAAAGCCAGTACTATTTAAAACCCGAAACCACTGTTAAACCTCTCTCCAAAAATCCTCATCATTTGTCATGATCAGAAATGGACTTTGGACTACTCTACAATATTTTAGGGTGTATTTTAGCATTTTTGGCCAGTTCCTTAACTGCTGTGAAAGTCCTAGGGGTAGAATCAACACAAGAATCAACATAGGGAATGGTTTATCTGGTTTTCCTTTGAAAGAGAAATTGAGGGAAAGTACAGAACCAACATGATGTTGTGTTCTCAACTTTGGACGTTGGGAGATCAAGGTTCGCATCCCCATTCAGCCATTCTGGGTGAGCTAGGGGATATCACTCTCTCTCAGCCCCCCAAATTTATCTCTCCCAGTAAACACCTTGATTGCTTCGCCTCGGTGTCACCTTAAGTCAGAAACAACTTGAAGGCATAGATAGGACAATAATAACATTCCAATTCTCAGTGTGGTTCTTTTCCATCTTAACTGGGATGGGAATAGAAGCAGAGATCTGCTGCCATCTACTGGACACATCTGGATATGACACCTCTAAAGGAGAAAGGTCAAATGAGCAATGAAAACAAATGCAAAGTGAACTTGTTGCACCACTGAGATTAATGGAGGAGAAAAACATTGGTAGAATGCACTTTCTTACACATAAGTCTATTATGCCAGATGCAACAGGGAGAAGTTTTTCTGCATCCCAAAGTTGAACTAAAGCAGAACTGCAAAAACAGCCGTGGGATTACGCATAGATTCATAGAATTGTAGCATGAAGAGGCTCCCAGAACCATCTAGTCCTACCCCTGGCATGCAGGAACACAGGATCAGAACACTCCTGACAGATGAGCATCCAGTCTATGAGTTGCTGTGAGGTTTTGAGGCTGTATGGCCATGCTCCAGTAGCATTCTCTCCTGATATTTTGCCTGCATCTGTGGCTGGCATCTTCAGAGGCAAGTGGAGTGTACATGTATCTCTGTAATGTCCAGGGTGGGAGAAAGAACTCTTGAAGCAAGTCTGGCTGTTGCAAATAGCAAGCTGGAATAGCATTGAGTAGACACGAAGCTGCGAAGCCAATCAGTGAGGGCATCTGCATAGAGGTAGCTTGGCTATTGTTGCCTGGAGGCACCCTCCGTTAGAGAGTTGTTCACTGGCACTTGATTGTTGGCTGCCCGGAACTCCCTTGTTTCTGAGTGGTGTTCTTTATTTACTGTCTTGAAAATAAAGAACACCAAAGGCAGCAGCATGGACCAAACACGAATCAAGGAACATGAAAGGCACTGCAGACTAAGTCAACCAGAGAAGTCAGCCATCACAGAGCACCTGATGAACCAACCTGGACGCAGCATACTGAGAACACAAAAATGCTGGACCACTCTCACAACCACCATGTCAGACTACACAGAGAAGCCATTGAAATACACAAGCATGTGGACAATTTCAACAGAAACCATGAAAATGAACAAAATATGGCTACCAGTATTTAAAAAACTCAAAAATTAGAACAGCAAAACAACAGAGAGCAAACAAACAAGGACATCTAATCACCTCTCAACAAAAGATTGCTCCAGGCACTTCCAAGCCATTAAATGCTAATCAAGGTGGTCAGTTGAAACATTCACCCCTAGTTCCAGCAGACAAGAGTCCTTTGTCTCACCCTGGTCTTTCCACAGATATATAAACCCATTTTCCTACTTCCAACAGACCTCACTACCTCTGAGGATGCTTGCCATAGATGCAGGCGAAACGTCAGGAGAGAATGCCTCTAGAACATGGCCATATAGCCCGGAAAAACCTACAACAACCTAGTGATTCCGGGCATGAAAGCCTTCAACAATACCATCATAAGGTTTTTCTTCAACACACACTTTGGACTACTTTTCTTCAACACACAGCACTACCTGAACATCAAGCAAAAAGCGGGTGCTAGAAAAAAATATCATACGAAAGCTGACTGGCACAACCTGGGGATCACAACCAGACACAGTGAAGACATCTGCCCTTGCGCTGTGCTACTCTACTGCTGAGTATGCATGCCCAGTGTGGAACACATCTCACCACGCTAAAACAGTAGATGTGGCTCTTAATGACACATGCCGCATTATCACGGGATGTCTGTGCCCTACACCACTGGAGAAATTACACTGCCTAGCCAGTATTGCACCACCTGACATCCGCTGGGAAGTAGCAGCCAATAGTGAAAGGACCAAGGCAGTGACATCTCTGGCCCATCCCTTGTTCGGATATCAGCAAGCACGCCAACAACTTAAATCAAGAAATAGCTTCCTAAGATCTACAGAGATACTCACAGGAACACCTCAGCAAGCAAGAGTCCAAAAGTGGCAGGCTCAAACCACAATCAATGGCTGATACCAAATGAGAGACTCCCCCCTGGGCACACAGAAAACTGGGTGATTGGAAGGCACTGAACAGACTGCGCTCTAGCACCACGAGATGCAGAGCCAACCTTAAGAAATCGGGCTACAAAGTGGAGTCCACGACATGCGAGTGTGCAGAAGAGCAAACCACTGACCACCTGCTGCAATGCAACCTGAGCCCTACCACATGCACAATGGAGGGCCTTCTTGCGGCAACACCAGAGGCACTCCAAGTGGCCAGATACTGGTCAAAGGACATTTAATAGAGTGCCAAGTTTGCAAACTTTGTGTTTTTAAAAAATGCAATACAATTGATTGGTTCGCTCCTGACACGATAGATAAATAAATACATCCTTCTCCCATCTGCACACACTTTGAACCCTTCTGCCCAGGTGTTGTCCTCTCTAGGCCCAGCCTGCAAACCAAACAGGTGGAAGGAGCCCACGCTCCACCCTTCCGGGTTCAAATTCTGCAAGAGAGAGAGAGCAAGGCCTTTAATGGCTGCAGGGCGTAAGGGAAGGCAAACAAACAACCTTCCCTTTGTTGCCCTATGTAAGAGGCAGCCTCACCTTTTTCTCCCAGGAAGCACCGGCACTTCCTCCTCAGGCCGCCCTGACCAGACAGGTAGGTTTGGGCCGGTCACCTGATCCTTCCTCCTGCTGAACACTGAGGGGCAAAGGCACCTAGATCTGCTGCATCACACCTGGAACAGGTAAGGGGGGCTACCTGGGGTACACCTGTTTAGGGCCACCATGCAAGTGGATCAATGCTCAGGGGAAGGAGATTAATTGGGGTGGAAGTGAGAGAGAGACAGAAAGGTTTCTGAAGCATTGCCATGTCTGCAGTAATTTTAGAACAGCTGCTTCAGGGAAAAGATGGTATTTTTCCATCTCAGGCTTGACCATCCCTTTGGAAAGACCCAATGAGGCAAAATTGTTTGAACACTGAATGGTGGCTTCAGCTACACTGTGGAAATAATGCAGTTTGACACCACTTTAACAGCAATGTGTCAACTCTATGGGATCCTGAGAGTTGTAATTTTGCAAAGTCTCTAGTTTTCTCTGTCCGTAGAATCATAGAATCAAAGAGTTGGAAGAGACCTCATGGGCCATCCACTCCTACTCCCTTCCAAGAAGCAGGCATATTGCATTCAAATCACCCCTGACAGATGGCCATCCAGCTTCTGTTTAAAAGCTTCCAAGGAAGGAGCCTCCACCACACTCCGGGGCAGAGAGTTCCACTGCTGAATGGCTCTCACAGTCAGGAAGTTCTTCCTCGTGTTCAGATGGAATCTCCTCTCTTGTAGTTTGAAGCCATTGTTCCATTGCGTCCTAGTCTCCAGGGAAGCAGAAAACAAGCTTGCTCCCTCCTCCCTGTGGCTTCCTCTCACATATTTATACATGGCTATCATATCCCCTCTCAGCCTTCTCTTCTTCAGGCTAAACATGCCCAGCTCCGTGAGTGGTAGTGTCTCAGCTAAACTGCAGCTTCCAGGATTCCATTGCATTAAGCCATGAAAATTATAGTGCATTACTTACTTAGGCAATCCCTCATAGTCCGAGTAAGATAGTCTTCCAAGATTACTGTACTGGTGGGTCTGTAGGTGACTGTGGAGCCCTGTTCTTGATCTGCATCTTCTCCCGCAGTGAGGGCATCATTTCCAGGTGAAAGGTGGTCTCGTTCAGGGTTGGCTTGACGTTCCTTCCTCTTGGCACGTTTCTCTCTTTCGCCCTCCATTCATGCTTCTTCAAATTATACAGCACTGCTGGTCACAGCTAACTCCAACTGGAGCACTCAAGGGCCAGGGCTTCCCAGTTCTCAGTGTCTATGCCAGAGTTTTTAAGGTTGGCTTTGAGCCCATCTTTAAATCTCTTTTTCTGTCCTCCAACATTCCATTTTCCGTTCTTGAGTTCGGAATAGAGCAAATGCTTTGGGAGACGGTGGACAATGTGGCCGGTCCAGCGGAGTTGATGGCGGAGAACCATCGCTTCAATGCTGGTGGTCTTTGCTTTTTCCAGCATGCTGACATTTGTCCACTTGTCTTCCCAGGAGATTTGCAGGATTTTTCAGAGGCAACGCTGATGGAATTGTTCCAGGAGTTGCATGTGACGTCTGTAGACAGTCCACGTCTCGCAGGCGTATAGCAGGGTTGGGAGGACAAAAGCTTTATAAACAAGCACCTTRGTCTCCCTATGGATGTTCYGGTCCTCAAACACTCTCTGCTTCATTCAGAAAAATGCTGCACTTGCAGAGCTCAGGCGGTGTTGTATTTCAGTGTCAATCTTGACTTTTGTGGAGAGGTGGCTGCCAAGGTAGTGGAAATGGTCAACATTTTCTAATGTTACACCATTAAGCTGTATTTCTGGCCTTGCAGAGGGATTGTCTTGTGTCTGCTGGAAAAGAACTGTGGTTTTCTCAATATTCAATGACAGGCCGAGCTTCTCGTCTGCTTCTGCAAAGCTKTTTAGAGTGGCTTGTAGATCTTCTTCTGAATGTGCACAGATGACATTGTCATCAGCATACTGGAGTTCTACAACAGATGTTGTTGTAACCTTGGCTTTGGCTTTCAGTCTGTTGAGGTTAAATAGCTTGCCATCTGTCTGATAGATGATAGCTTCCTGTCAACAAGATGAAGTATCATAGCGATGAAGATGGAGAATAAAGTTAGGGCAATAACACATCCCTGTTTGACACCTGATTCCACCTTAAATGGGTCACTTTGGGAACCATTGCTGTCCAAGACTGTTGCCATCATGTCATCATGATTAAAGTGTATTGTTGAAGGCTTTCATGGCTGGAATCACTGGGTTGTTGTAGGTTTTTCCGGGCTATATGGCCATGTTAATGAGGACCTCACTACCTCTGAGGATGCTTGCCATAGATGCAGGCGAAACGTCAGGAGAAAATGCCTGTAGAACATGGCCATATAACTTACAACAACCCAATGATTTAAGTGCATTAATGCTACAGTGTAGAGAAAGTCTGACTCTGCAGAGCAGGATCTAATCCCACTTAGCCATGCAAATCCAGTAGGTCACACTCTCTTAGCCTCCAAAAACAGATCTTGCCAAGGAAACTCAGGTATCAGTTTGGTTTAGGGGCTTGCAAAGTCAGGAATGGCTTGAAGGCACAGAAGAACAACAATGTTCTTGACTAGCAACACACTTCCGGCCCTTGCACATTACACAGTTCTAGCACTATGGTATGGTATCTTTTCCATTTCTGTTGCAATATATACTTCTATGATTTTGTGGGAGAGATTTAGAACTCTCAGCTGGAGAGCTCTAGTGCACCCCCAAACTACAACTCCCAGACTTTCCTTGGATGCAACTGAAGTGGAATCATATTGCTTAAGTGCCTTAAAAGGCCAGCTTCTAGTAACCCTGTGGCTATGTTGCAATGAGGGAGCCAAGATATGGTGCAGAGAAATGTGTATATCCAATGACATTGGTATAGACATTTGGTAAGCTACATATTAACTTGAGTCTAATGCTCCATTGAATCTAATGCACATCTCAATTTTCAAAACCCTGAAACCAAAAAAAAAAAAAGTATTTGCAGGTGAATGTAATGTGCATCAACAAGTGGTGCACTCCTTGTAATATTCCCATGACAGTTGCTGCCTGCTTAGAATTCCTTCTTTAAAAACCATTGTGTTGGAACGCTGAAGTTTCCAGCAATGGAAAAGAAACCTTGGGGTGCATCTATTCTGCAGAATGAATCCACTTTAATTTGAGAACACAGAAATGCTGGACCACTCTCACAACCACCATGTCAGAATACACAGAGAAGCCATTGAAATCCACAAGCATGTGGACAATTTCAACAGAAAGGAGGAAACCATGAACATGAACAAAGTCTGGCTACCAGTATTAAAACAACTCTAAAATTAGCACAACAACAGAGAGCAAACAAACAAGGACATCTAATCACCTCTCAACAAAAGTTTGCTCTAGGCACTGTCAAGCTAATCAAGGTGGTCAGTTGAAACATTCACACCTAGCTCCAGCAGACAAGAGTCCTTTGTCCCACCCTGGTCATTCCACAGATATATAAACCCTTTTTCCTAGTTCCAACAGACCTCACTACCTCTGAGGATGCTTGCCATAGATGCAGGCGAAATGTCAGGAGAAATGCCTCTAGAACATGGCTATATAGCCCGAAAAAACCCACAACAACCAAATCCACTTTAATTGTTTGGTTCAATGCTATGGAACCGTGGAGGATGTAGTTTTACAAGGTCTTGAGCCTCCTCTGCCAAAAAGTTCAGATGCCTCATCAAACTACAAATCCCAGGCATTGAGCTATGATAACTAAATTACAGTGAACTTGAAAATAAAGTTGAGGAATAGTTTGAAACAGAGTCCTAAATGTGTAGCTTTAATGGGACCCTCTTCATACCACAAGACTGGCTCCACAGAATACAAAGTGCTGTGTGGACACTTGAAATGCTTCACTGATGTGCACATATGCATTCAAGGGGAGCTTTTTGTAAACACTGTAGTTGTAAACATTCCAGATCCTGCAGCCGGTTCAAAGCCAGCCTCTGCGGTGCATGCAATCCCCATCTGGAATTACCAGTGTTAATTGCCCCACATTGAAACTGGTTCTTCTACACCAGCTTAAAACTAAGCAGTCAGTGTAGAGGTGACCTTTGGCTGCGTTTATAATGATCCAAATGAGTGAACTGATGCAGGCTGTCCTGATGCAGAATGAGTGTGTCTCTGGAACCCTTTGAGTGTCCAGACAGCATTTCAGTAGCCCAGAGGAGCTCCCTGGAAGAGCCCTGGAGAAATACCATTTCCGATGATGTCAGAACATCCAATCATGTGATTATTATTATTATTATTAAACAGTCATGTGCCGTCACACCCAGTCCCTATAAAAGTAAAACTAAGATGTGCTTCTCTCTTTGTCTGGGCGGACCACGGGGGTCTTTCTTTAGAAGCTCAAAATTTCTCAGCAACTGAGGCCACTTCAGGTTTGGAACATCAAACAGAATATTTATTTCTCAAAGTCCTTGCAGACTTGGCACAGCTTATTAAAGTTACAAACAAAACAGTCAGTTGGTGAAACCATAGAGATGATCTTTCTTTCCTTTTCCTTCAGTTACTGAGGTGCCTTCATCCAAATGGTAGAAGAAAATCCTGAGATCTTTTTACCCCAACCCTGAGCCACTATCTTTTAGAAAGTGTAGGCCTTCCCTATTCCAGCCCAAGGTCAGTTTTGGAGATGAAGGAAATAGTGCTCAATAACTATTTCTCAATAATTCAATATCTATCTATAACTCAATTGCTCAATCACTATCTATAGCATCTCAATCACTAAATTTATGTTTCTATCTATTTCTCAATCAGCTTCTTTATCTATATAACTCAATCAGCTTCCTCTATCTAAATAACTCAATCATTCTTACAATGGTTTTCTCAGAGTACCTGCCTGACCAACAGCACATCTGAAACTTTCTTCTCTATTCAAAACGATCTTGACAGATTAGAGAGATGGGCCAAAACTAACAAACTGAAGTTCAACAGTGACAAATGCAAGATTCTCCACTTAGGCAGAAACGAAATGCAAAGAGACAGAATGGGGGACAATGCCTGGCTCGAGAGCAGTACGTGTGAAAAAGATCTTGGAGTCCTCGTGGACAGCAAGTTAAACATGAGCCAGGAATGTGATGTGGTGGCAAAAAACGCCAATGGGATTTTGGCC